CAGGCTCACCTGGGGGTGGGGGGAGAAGAGAAGGGGGTTGGGGGCGCCCACCCTGCACCCCAACTGCCCACCCTGGACCACCCACCCCCACGGCGAGAAACGAAAGGCCACAGAAAAGCCGTGGGGATGGGGTCTGGGCTGAACAACCCCCCACCCCCCAAAAAAACCAGAGCAGGAGGGTGCTGAGCTGGATGGGGGGGGGGGACACAGTTCAAGCCCACCTGTGCCCACTGGCGATGGTGGCTCCGGGGCCACGCTGAAGGTGGCCGTCCTGGCCCGCGGGATGCTGAGGGCCATCACCCGGCAGCCGGTGCCCAGGGTGCCCACGGCGAGGCTGCGGCTGGGCTGCGGCGGGTCGGCGTACAGGCTCACCTGGGGGTGGGGGGAGAAGAGAAGGGGGTTGGGGGCGCCCACCCTGCACCCCAACTGCCCACCCTGGACCACCCACCCCCACGGGAACCGCCTGTGATGGTGGGGTGATGGTGGGGGGGAAGCACAGCGCAGGAAAGGGGGGTCACACCACCGTCCCTGCCTCAGTTTCCCCACCCGTGCAGCGGTGCAGGGCGGGAGGTGACACGGGGACACGCTTTCCGCCCGCCGTTGGTGACGTCCCCACAGCAGCCGCCCCCGCCATTTTGGGGCTGTTTCGGCACATTGTGGGGAAACCCGTGGGGCGGGGATGGGGGGGGGGCACAGAGGGGCCCCCAGCAGCCTCACCCTCCCCTCTCCCCAGGCTGGGCTTGCTCAACCGCAGGAAGAGGAAGAGGAGGGTCAGGGGAGGAAGATGCTGAGAATAACCTCAGGGAGGGGGGATAGGAGGGGGGAGGAAAGTGGGGAGCAGAGTGGGGTTGTCCCCCCCCCCACCAGCACCCACCCTGGCGCCCAGGCGCAGCTGGTCGATGGTGTTCTCAGCCTCGGCGTACTTGGTCAGCAGCTTGTGGTAGTCATCCTGGGGGGGGACACACAACATATGATGGCACCCAAAGTGGGGATGGGGGCTCAGAGGATGCTCAAGAGGAGGGAAGCATCCCTGTGTGGGGATGCCAGGGCTGGGGGGGGGGCCCATAGAGGGGGGGATGACACCCTGGGGTGCAGAAACCCACCCCCAACTCAAAGCACCCAGCCCATCTAGTGGAGAGGTGACCTCTGTTTCTCTGTGGGGCAGGGGGACAGCCCACCATTCCTCCCAGGGGACAGGAGGGCATCCCAGGGGACAAGCATCCCAGGGGACAAGCATCCCAGGGGTAATGAGCATCAGGGGGGTGAACAAACATCCCAGGGGGGGGACAGGGGACAAGAGCATCCCTGCCTCCAGCCCCAAGTGCCACCCACACCCCTGCCTGGTCCTTCCCTCCAGCCCCAAAATGAGGTGACCACCACCAAACCCTACATCGGTGACACCAGGCTGGCTCACGGGGCTGGTGACACCTCCTTTTTGCCTGCACCCCCTCTTTTTACCCCCCCCCACCTCCATCTACACGGGCGACCCTCCCAGTAAGACCTCTCTGGCTAAACTGGGAAGGAACTGGGAGTTACCTGGAGCTGCTGCACCAGCTGGGTGGCTTGCCTGGGGGACCTGAACTCCTTGGGCAGCCCGGTGGAGGCGGTGGGGGGAGGATGTGGGGGGACCCCCTCCCCGCTGCTCAGCAGCACCTCCCGCACGATTTCGGCGGGGGACTTGAAGCCCAGGGGGCCACCGGTGGTCCTGGGGGGGGCTGGCAGGGCTCGGCCCCGCGGTGGCCGGTAGCTCTGGTCGAACTTCACCCGCGCCTCCACCTTGGAGAGGTCGGGCAGGGGGTGGTTGAGCCGCCCTCGGCCGTACTGGGTGGCATCACCCACGCTGGTGCCCCATCCCGAGGGGTCCTTGCCACCCCCACGCCGCTGCCGGGGGCTGGTGGACCACCACCGATGGCCAGACTTGGGGGGCAGCACCGTAGGCACCGCTTTCTTGGGCACCCGAGACCCCTGCTGGGGTGGAGGGGGGGTCTCAGCACCCCATGGCTCCCCAGTGGGTGCCGAGCCAGGGGTGCTGGGGACCGGCAACCCCTCGGGGACAGGCTTGGTGGTGGTGGCATCACGGAGGTCATCGGTGGAGAGGTTCAGCAGGAGGCTCTGGCTCGGGGTCCAGCTCTCCCCGTGCCCCCCACCGGTGTCCCCGGCCGTGTCCCAGTCCCGGTGTCGGTGGGACGGGGTGGCAGGGCCAGGGCTGGCATCTGACAGCCCCGAGGTGTCCCCACCATCCGTGCTGCAGAGAGCCCGGCCGTCCTGTGACACCCCGGGGCTGCCGCTGGACCCCGAGCCCCACCGTCCCTCGTAGGAGAGCTCGGGGTAGGGGTCCCCATCGCTCTCTGCCCCCCAGGGCCCTTCATCCCCCCTGAAGCTGCCCCGTTCCTCCTCCTCCTCCTCCTCCAGGTCCTGCCGTGGGTGCCAGCCACCCTCCTCTGCCGGGGACCCCTCCTCCAGCTCCTCGCCGTACCCTGCAAAACACCAGTGCTGTGGGGCTGCCACCACCCACATGGTGCCCCCCAACAAGCTCCAGCACCTCCTGGGACACCCAGGACCCCCCCAACAAGGGCAGCAGGGAGGGGAAGACTCACCCCAGGGTGGGCTCCCGGCGTCCTCCCCCAGGCCGATGACCCCATCCTCATCCATCCGCCTTTCGAAGTCGTCTTCTTCCTCCTCCTCCTCCTCCTCCTCCTCTCCCTCCCAGCGCGTCAGCTCTGTTTGTGTCCGGTGCAGCCATGGTGCCGGGCTGGCCATGGCCCGCGGCCACCGCGGCCTTGTCACTTGCGCCGCTTCATGGCCCGGTGGTGGCAGTGATGGTGGTGGTGGTGGTGGCAGCAGCAGCGGCGGCAGTGGGTTGGGGACCTCCTTGTCACAAATGTAGGTCACATCATCATCATCATCATCATTGTCGCCGTCGCCGTGTCCCGGGGGGGCTGGGGGAGAGGGAGGGATGCTCAGTGGGACGCAGCTGGGGGATTCTGCTCAAGGTGTCTCTGTCTGTCCCCCTCTCTGTCCCCACTGCCAGGGCTCCCCATGTCCCTCAGACCCTGGGGACAAAAGCAACCCCCCCCTCACCCACCCAGGATGGGGTGGGGACACCCTCGGGCCACCCCCTACCCTGCGTCCCCCACCACAAAGCCACAGCTGCCACATCCCCCACGGCCACAACAACCCCCAGAGATCCCCAGGGAAAGGAGTCCCCCCCCGGTGCCACCCTAAAAGGCTTTTTTCCCCCACAGGGTGGGCACTGGGGACACCCAGCCCACGCTGGCACCTTCTGGATGTCACCCCAGCCAGGTAGCCAGGGTCTGGAGACCATCAGCTGTGCCATCATGGCACACTGCTGGGGGAGGCAGGACCCCCCCCCGAGGCTCCTCAGGGAAAGGAGTGTCCCCGCCCCCACCCTGGTGTCACCCTAAAAGGCTTTTTTCCCCCCCGGGGTGGGCACTGGGGACACCCAGCGCAGGCTGGCACCCTCTGGATGTTACCCCAGCCAGGTAGCCAGGGTCTGGGGGAGGCAGGACCCCCCCAGAGGCTCCTCTAGCTCCGGGGGGCTGACAGCGAGAGGGATCCCAGCAGAGACCTGGCACACTCGCTGCACTGATGACCCCCCAAAGCAGGAGCTGGCCCTCACCCCGCTCCCAGCAGCAGCTCGAGAGACACCGGATGCCAAAAACCCAACCACGTGGAGCGGGGAGCACAATAAGCCACGGGGGTTTTCCCCCAGCAATGACCCCTCGGCTGGATTTGAGCCCCCCCACACACCTCCCCCAACCCCAATTTTGGCCACGAGGTGCCAGAGGGGGCACCAAGCCCCCAAACTGACAGCTGGTACCAAGAGCACCGTGGTGGCATCACCCCACAGCATCCCCCATCCCACGGCCAGCGTCCCCAGCCCCACGGAGGGGATGCACTCACCCCCCCCCAGCATCATCCCCGTGACCCCCATGGGGGTCCCCGAGGTGGCACCTCCCCCGAGCGCCCCAAAACCTTCCTCTTCCTTCCCTTTGGGGCTTTTGCAGAAGTAGGAACCGATGATGATGATGATGATGCTTTCGGGTGCTTCCTGCAAGTTTGAGGGCGGCCACAAACTTTTTAACCCCATCAAGCCCACACTCCCCGCTCTGGGTTTTTGGTTTTTTTTCATCAAAACCTTTCTTTTTTAATCCCATCTGGGGAGGAAACACCAAAACGACATCAAAATGGGGATCCCTGGGACCACCCACAGCTGCTGCCTCCGAAAGATATGGGGTAAGGGGCTTCCAGGAGGAGCTGCAGCCCCAAAATTCAGCCATACAGCCCCAAAATTCAGCCCGGCGGGCTTTGCCCATATCCCAGATTTCCAAGGTGGGGGGGGGTCCGCCTGGTGCCCACCCCAAGATGCCCTTAGGGATGTCACGGCTCATCCTGGCACGTTTGCAGGCGGGCAATTAACTCAGCTCGTTAACACATAATTAGCAGCACGTGGAGGGGGAGAGCTTGCCAACGAACCCATGTGGGATGGGTGTACGTAGCTGGGGGTGGGGAGGGGGGTGCTGCAGTGATTTTTGGGGTGCTTGGGGGATGAGCAGGAAAACTGTGGTACCCAGGTTCTCCGGGAAAAGTGGTCCCAGTCTCAAATTGGCAAAATTCCCCACCTTAAATCTTGCTATAAGTGGGTTTTTTGGGGGGTTAAGCTGGCATCAAGGTCCTTGGGCATCATCCTTGCACCACCATCCTCAGTCCCAGCCCTGGGGGGATGAGGGGGGGGTTGATGGGCCAAGGAGCAAACCCCAAAGTATCCTTTAGGGTTTTGGAAACCTCCCGGGGAGTTTGCAGGAGGATTTTCCCCGTCAAAATGGCCAAGTGGCTCCTCTTTCTGCACCTGGAGATGCTCCAGAGCTTCTCCCACCTCCGTGATGGGGAGGATGGGGTTGCCCAAGGGGATGCTTCAAGGCTCTGCTGCTTCTCAACGTGGCTGGAGAGAGATTTTGGGCTTTAGCCCCCTCCCCAAAGCGGGGTGAGCCTTGGCCTGGAGAAGCAACACAACAAAGTGCCTCCAGATCCTCCTGGAACCCCCCCGAAGAGATGAGGAGCCCCAAAAAGGTTGGGGAGGGGGATGTGTGTTCCAGCAGGTGGGTGAAATGAATTTGTGGGTCCTCTTGTCTCAGGGCAAAGAGGGTTAAAACATTTCCCACCCTCATTTTTGGCAGCCCAGTGCCCGGATATATTTTTTATTTTTTTTTTTTTTTTTTAAATCTTGCTCTTTGAAAGCTGGGATTTCGCAAAAAGGGCCATTTGAGGAAAAGGAAATCTAAAAACCTCAGCTAGAAAACACCTCAAACCCCTCAAACCCCCTCACCTGAGACCCAAAAACCTGCCTGAGATCCGTGGTGACACTGTGTCCCCTCCCCCAGGGCTTGTGCCCGGGAGGGGGGATAAAGCCCCCCCCCTGCATCCCAGACGGGCACGTTCGTGCCCGTCTGGGATGCAGGGGGGGGGCTTTATCCCCCCTCCCGGGCACAAGCCCTGGGGGAGGGGACACAGTGTCACCACGGATCTCAGGCAGGTTTTTGGGTCTCAGGTGAGGGGGTTTGAGGGGTTTGAGGTGTTTTCTAGCTGAGGTTTTTAGATTTCCTTTTCCTCAAATGGCCCTTTTTGCGAAATCCCAGCTTTCAAAGAGCAAGATTTAAAAAAAAATATATATAATAAAAAATATATCCGGGCACTGGGCTGCCAAAAATGAGGGTGGGAAATGTTTTAACCCTCTTTGCCCTGAATATTTGGGGAAGAAGGGATGAATTTGGTTTCCCTCCTGCTCTGAAGAACTTGAATTTTGCCCCAAGTAAACAGCGGGGAGACAGATCCCCATGGTTCAGTTCCCCACTTCATCATCCTCCCCCCTCCCCACCCCCCAATCTTTTATCTGAGAAGATAAAAAAAGGGAGTTTCCAGACATCTGGAGACATCAGCCAAGCTTCCTGGGGGCTGCTCAAACCCTCCTGTGAAATGTCTGCAGTAAATCCTTCGATGTGATTTATGGAATGGGATCATCCACGGGACACAAATGCAAACCCCCCACCCCCAGCAGAGTGATGGGTCTGATGTCTGGGGAAATACAAGGCCCTAGAGGGGGGAAATAACACCTCCCAAATCCCCACGTGGCTCCGAAGGGACTTTCCTGATGCCCAGGGAGGAGAAGGAGGGGATGTGCGCTGAGTTGTGCCCGTTCTCAGCCTGCCCTACCTGGATGGTGACGATGCGGGGCAGCGGCTGCCGCGTGTTGGCTCCCCCCTCGATGGCGATCCCCAAGGTGGGCGCGCTCTTGGACACTCGGATCAGGCAGGAGGTGGGCTCCAGGAGCCCTGGCTGTGGGGAGAGAGGGCAGCGATGCCAAGGGAGCCCGGGCACCCTCTCCCTGTCATGGTCCCTCAGCTCAGAGCCCCACGGGAGAGGGATGGACACGCTGCTGGCAATTCCTGACTCCTGACATCCATGATCCCAACGGTGTCGGGGTCTGGAAGGGCTTGGGGAAGAGTGGAGCAGCCCTCCCACTGCTTGCCCACACACCTCAACCTTGCCACCATCAGAAAGCCTCCAATTTACTTCTGATTCCTGATGCCACCTTCCCTTCTGGGCGATTGGTGACTTCACCCATGGGACACTGTGCCCCACGGATGTCCCCTTGGAGCCAGGAACTCTGCCATGTGCTGGGGGAGCTGGGGGTGTTCAGCCTGGAGAAAAGGAGGCTGAGAACCGGACAAAACCCTCCCCAAATCCTCCGTCCCCGGGCTGGGGAGGAACCGCCGCAATAAGAAAAGTTTATGACAAGTTTCTTGGGGGGAGGAGGAGGGGGGGAAAACACGCCGCGAAGGCGGTGGCGACGTGGGGTGGGGACGGCGCGGGG